AGGGAAATTGGTGGTTTATTTACAAAGATATGAAAGAGAACTAAGGCGGAGGACAAGCGCTGGAGCTTGGTAACTGTTTTGATCTTATTTATGGTGCCTGAAATACAGAGGGTAAAAATTTCAGGGAAATTGGACTGATACTAACGAAGATACGAGAGAGAGCTAAGGCGGAGGACAAGCGCTGGAGCTTGGTAACTGTTTTGATCTTATTTACGGTGCCCGAAATACAGAGGGTAAAAATTTCAGGGAAATTGGACTGATACTAACGAAGATACGAGAGAGAGCTAAGGCGGAGGACAAGCGCTGGAGCTTGGTAACTGTTTTGATCTTATTTATGGTGCCTGAAATACAGAGGGTAAAAATTTCAGGGAAATTGGACTGATACTAACGAAGATACGAGAGAGAGCTAAGGCGGAGGACAAGCGCTGGAGCTTGGTAACTAAATTACTGTATTGAACTACATTTGAAATATGATTATTTTTAAATTTTAGAGGGATTGGAATGATAGTATTCATTATACGACAGGGGACTAAGGTGGGGGAACGTGAGCTAGAACATGCTTACTAACATGATTTATTTGTGTAAAACTGACTTGCTTAATGAAAAGGAGCAAAACATACGATGTTGGAAAATAGTTGAACTGAATGAAAGGAGAGAGAGAGAGAGAGGAGGGACGGTCCAGATATTATGAAGAAGATAAGATAAGATAAGAGCCGACTGGCTGGCCGGGCGTAAGGTAAATAAAGGTGACGCGAGAGATTGAGACGGTAAGGGGGGGAGGGAGGGGGGTGTGATGTACGAAACCCTGAAAACCATGACTTACACAGGTGATTTTCTAAATTTATATGAATAACTAAGGCTTACATAGACGATTTTGTAAGTTGAAAACATGTAAAATATGTCCGTAGAGTTCTCCTGGAAACCCTAAAGCGCTACATATGTTACTTGAATTTGTCCCATAAGGCCTTAACAAACTTCTAAGTCTCGGAAATTATTTTTCTCATAAGAACTTTAACAAACTCGTATGACATTATTTTTCATTATAAGAATTCCCTAATTCCAAATCTGTGACTCCCCAAATTCACCTGAAAACCCTAAAGCGCTACACACGATTTTCTGCCAAAAAAAAAAATCGTCTGTGGCGCTTACATTCCACAGGGGTCCTCGGCCAGAAAAAAAAAATCGTCTGTGGCACTTACACCCTACTACTAACAGGTCGCCTAGGGGATGGGCTACGGCGATGCTGTGGTGACATAAGAGCAACTGTAAGGTGCCTCAAACTCTCACACACCTGGTCCAATCTCCCGTTGGTCTCTGAGATACCTGCTACCAAGGTGTCCAACTTCGCCTCCACGCCCATGGAAGATAAAGGATGCGGGCCCGCACTCGATGGTCGGCAAGTGTTGATTCCAAAACCTGAAGAGCTGGTAGCCGGTGACGTGCCTGGGGAGCTGGGAAGGGCGAGTGTCGAGCGCCGAGAAGCGTCATTACTCCTGGGTGGCCGCTCATACTGGGAGTACCTTCCCACTGCATTCACTCGCACTGCTGGACCTTGGGGCACTCGGTGATGGGAGTCGTATCCTTTGGAACCTGAGGAACCGTGGATCGCTAGGGCATTGTGCTGGAAGGTTTGGGCCCAATCAATAGCCTCCTCCATGGAGGAGTTCCTCGCATTGGAAATGTATCCTGCCAGACTCTTATCCTGTAATCCCTGGCCAAATCCCATTACTGCGATTTGTTCCACTTCCCATCGTGGCACATGTTTGTAGGCCCGATGAGCCAAGTGATGGGCCCTGTCTGCCCAATCAGCGATATCCTCTTCTGGTTCCTGCTGAGCCTGGTTAAACTTCATCATGGCTACATCCAGAACTTCCCTATCGCCAAATCGCTTGATCATCTTATGCATCATGCGATTATAATCGATCGACGGTTCTCTGTCCAGTAAGTGATTGTAAAAATCACTCGCCTTACCCTTGAGGCACCACCCTAACTGTGTCAATAACATAGGCCCGCTCCAGTCCTTTTCCGAGGCATAAGACGTGAAACGGCGGTAGAAGGTGGCCCAATCTTACTTCCCGTCATAGTCCAACGCCCGAGGCGGTGTGCGGAAGGTCTCTTTCTGTTGGCGATAACCCGTCCGCCTGCTGCGGGATAGAGAGGCATCCGAATCGGAAGTCCGAGAGCTGTGTGACGAGTGTCGAGCTGTCCGTCTCCTTGATCGGGCCGATCGATGGTGGGAGGGGCTCCCCTGCCGAGTACCTTGGCGGCCACTAGCCCTGGAGTAAGCTGGTGACTGAGGTCGGCGTCCACGTTGTCTGCCGCTGGCGGCACCCCTAGAGGAACGGCGGGTACCCGTTTCGCTGGACGAGGACGATGAACGACTTCCTGCCCCCTGACCTGAGGGCCCGGGACCCTGTTAGGACGGGTCCACCTCAAACGATATAGCAGCCATCAACTCGGGTGTGGCCCGAAGGCGGTTGATATCATAAATGTTGTCCTCCGTGATCATGTGGCGATGCCGAAACTTGATAATGCGAGCGGCCAATGTATCTCCTACACCCGGTAGCCGCTGCAGCTCAGCAGCCGAAGCAGAGTTTATCTAGATTAGGGCCATTGTGCTGGTGTCGAAAGTTAAAGCTCCAATATATCGTGCCACACCTGGTAATAAGAATTAGATCTGGGGCCAGGCACCTCATGTATATCACCCCAAACAAAAAAACAAACAACAACAACAAAAAAAACACGAACACCAATGGCCACACTTAAGGTTCCAATGTTCAGAGATAGAGATAAATGTTCCACAAGGAAAAATTTGCACTGCACAGTCAATAATGTAAATGATGGGGCCAGGTGGGTTTTAAGCAACATAAAACACTGCACACTTAATTGGTACCTGAATCACTTGAGGCTTAGACAAAAACTGGGCACTTACTGCACTTGCAAAACTGGAAAATCTGATATGGCAGGCACTTTAAGGAACTTTGACAAGCAATGTGCCTGATTTTCATAAGCACTGGGCTGAGGGTTCTCAAAAACACTTTTTTCAGGTGAACGTGGGGAACTGTGTGCAGGGCGGATCACCATCCACCTTAAATCTGGTATGAACACAAACTCACTGGCTTACTTAATGTATCTGTTCCCCTTGAGCCGTTACTTCTGTAGAAAGCCTAGAACAGGTTACGTCTAACTAACAGTAGAAATGAGAAAGTAACAGACCTGTATCAAGCACCCTGCAGAGCTGGGACCGGCGTCGCTGCAGTAAACACACTGGAGACGGATGCGCTCGGGAGCGACAGCCTGAAATCCTCCGCGAGCGGATTCGTAAACAATACAGGTCAAATATGATCATGAACGGTGGCCCGTATTCCGTGTGAATGGTGGTACTTGTCTCCCCTTCTTCAAAGAACTTAGGGACCGCGGGAATCGGTGCTTGGGGGACAAGACAATAAAATGCAATAAATCCGGGGAAATAATCCGTATAAAACACTGATAACTGGAACTTATGGAGAATCTTGGGGGATTGCACGAGATGTGGAATAAAACATATGCACAAAAGAACAGGGACTGAAATATCTTGGGCACCGCTATTGAACAACAAGCCGAAGAACATCTATGGTGCAACCAAAGCGCAGTAATTCGAGACTGGAACCGTTGAACACTATCTAAGACGTCTAGACTGAAGTCGGCAGAACGATGATGCAGATATCTTGGCGAGGTCCTCTTGATCACCGCGTGGGAACGTTTACTCACTGCGCCAATGTAGAGGTGACCCACGTGTTACAACAATAGTACAGTAATATTTCACCTGGAACTGTCGTCGTAGGGAGAGGTAGGGCTGGTAGGGCAGGTGGAGCAAGTCTAGGCTCGTCAGGAAGGGTAGGACAGAGGGAGTCAATGCCTCTTTAGGGGTCCTATGGGCACATATCCTAAGTGCCAGTGGTGCCGGGCAGGCGTCGTCCGCGCTGGGTCACATGCAGTTCAAATCTGGTCCACTCGGCCTGCGCGGGTAGGCTGTGCGCCGTCGCCGTCCTCCAATCAGGGCACAGCCCTGCCAATACTGTAAAATGTCTCCTTTGGCGGGCACTTTGAATGTGGTTCCCTCTACAGAACTGATGCCAACGCACTGGCCAATAAACTGAATAATACTGGCCACTAAACAATAGATTGATTGATGAAGATTAAGCCACCCAAAAGGTGGCACAGCAATGAATAGCCCGTAAGTGGATGCCCTCTCTGAGTCATTACCAGTATCAGTAGATGATACTGGAGATCTGTGGAGGTGCGATCGCACCCTGCTTGACGGGAGATGTCTCCCGTGACTAAACAATAAACTGAACCTATCGTAAAGAAGAACGACGACCATTGACCGTCTAGTGCTCCAACAGAGTGTAACTGTAATTAACAATGCTAAAGTCCTGACCTACAGTCAAATATTAATCCATCAGCCACGAATCAGAGCGTCTCCCAACATCAACTCTAGTGCAGGGTCCTGTTGAAATTTTTTTTCCGATTTTACATAGGTTTACCGTGACAGACACTAACAATAGTAGCCTTGAAGAGGAAAGGAAATCGGCAGATTGTCGAAGGTTTACCTTGATATTTTCCAGCTATACAGTACTTTAAAAGAAAAGTTAACAGATGTTTGACTTTTATTCTTCGGCAGGTAAGCTGTTTCACCAATATTTACCAACCATCGGGTTGAATACTTATATGACACAAACTAGACATATTAGTATGAAAAAGAACTTACAATTCTCCAAATAGTAGGACGTGATTCAGTTTTCATGGATATATTCATTTTCGGGTGTTCGACTTCAGTTTGGAAATATGAAAAGGCACAGTTTGGTGCATTCAGATGATAATGCTTTATGACATTAATTACAAATGGCATAAGAAAGAAGCAAATATTAGTTATATTTAGAACCTATAACAGAAAATAATTTAAGTAAAACAGTTGATATAAAAAGCTGTATATAATTAAAAGTTGCTAGTTTCATCACAATGAATGTAAACATGTGATCATTCGTTCAAAAACAATAACACACGTGATCCTAGATTTTGCAGTCATCGGGAGAACAAATCCTTCATGCAAACTGCACCTACTATCAAGAAGAAGATCCTAGATTTGGGCATGGTATGTAAAGTTTTCTCGGCATTTATGTAAATAATTCCTTCATATGTAATATTTTACTAATTGAAAAGAATGCAAATGTTTCATTGCTGTTTAGTTAAATAATTTTCAAAAACTTGTTGCAGTATTAAAGTTTTGCTTGTTATGTGTAGGAAGAATATATTTTACTGCATATTGGTATACACATTCCAATACGTTTTTAGTATGCAGCATGTTGTTTTTATCAATTATGTTTTTTATAATAAACTTCCTAGAAGGTTGTAACAGATCCCATGAGCACCTCACCAGAAACAAATACCTATTTGATATTCCAAGAGTACGACTTAGTTAAACTAGAAATGCTTTACAAATCAAGGGACCTCGAATGTGGCCTTCCCAATTATGTTAAAGACTGCACCTCTCCCAACCAGTTTAAGTTAAAAACTAAGTACTACCTAATTAACTCAATGTAACCTACCTCTCCCCCAAAATGTCAACCCATCTCTTCTATTTGAAACAATGCTGTTTGTTGACCAAATTGTATTTTACTTTTTTTCTGCCATGTTTCACCCCCCCCCCCCTCCCTTTTATTCCATTTTTTTCTTATTTTTTCTCAACACAATTTATACATTAATCTCTTTTAGTATTAAGTTTTAGTCTTAGTGTTTTTCCTGCCCGAAACACTTTGCGTAATAGTGGCTTTAGGCATTGTATGTACTAGCTCTATCTATAAATCCATCTACTTTTGTATCTTACCTTGTATGTATGTACTTTACCTGAATAAATAATTGCATTTGTATTTGTAATAGGTAGATGATACAGAAAGCAGTACAATGTCTGTCACAAATCCTTTTACTGCGGCAGCATTAAGACCACAAGTCAGTAGAATAAATATGCCTGGAAGATCGACCCCAGCCAGCATACTAGCAGGTAAAAAAACATTTAATCAGCTTTTGACCAAATTACAAATAAAGATGTGTTATGTTATGTCATTGTGTTAGGTTAGCCTAGCTATTATTTCCAATTTGTTTTTTAATTTGTATTAGTATGCAGTATTAGGCTATTGTAACAAATTGGAATGTACAACGTCCAATATTTTTTTGGCAGATTCGTTCTTGGCTCCTGAAAACTATCTTTACTTACTTTGTTTAGCTGGACATTGTCGAAGTTGGGTGTTCCAGATAAAGGTAAATAACATCTTTAGTGTGTAATTATGGATAAATTTCAATGTAATTATGAAATGCATGATTAATGTCAATCTCTGAATACACTTAGATGTTTGTCATTTTAAAACTTGGTATACAATATTTCTAAATCCAGTATTACCATTCAAAGTACATAATTACATTATTTTTTGGAAAACCAGGCAAATGTTGTGTACAATGTAGAAGTTGTGAGGCAAGCATAAAATGTGAAGACTGCTTTCATTTTTTGTGTCATAAATGTGATCAGCAGCAGCATTTTGTAATGCCTTTCCACCATCTATTCTGCTGGAAAAATGGGTTCTTCGAGCCTTTAGACCCAACACAAACTGTGTGTTCAGATGGGAATGTCATTCACTGGAGTAAGTAATGTACCTGTAGTCTGTTTCTTATACTCTCATTTCTATCCTGAACCAAGCAGTGTTTTAAAACTTTATTTAGTTCATGTAATTTTTTTAGTAGTTTTTGTATTGGTCATTTTCCTCATTAATTATTGATTACCTCATTAATTACAGATTTTTAGTTAAATAAATGAATTTTTATTTGTTATTAAATATAAATCTTTCATGTAACTCCAGTTAATGCTAAAAAAATTATTAGTAATTTAAAATGTAATGATTGAAACATGTAGTTATTTTGCTGCATAGCTGATCTTGTAAATTTAATTGTTACCAGAGCCTGTTGTACCAGCACATCCACCTAATTCCTGCCCGAACTGCAGTGAGAGCAAGTTCACAACTTTAAGCTCCAATAATTTGTGCATCTTTGTAACTTTAAGTGGTAGGTTACTTTAAGAAACATTTATTTGATTCTAGTATTGGTAGCTGGCATTGCTCAGGTGACCCAGGCTACAGTCTTCATCAATATAACCATTTATACTTCACTCTCTTTACCACTGTATCTTCACTTATGAAGACGTATTTATATCACATACGTATTTATAACCATACAGAGAATTGTTTATGGGTTGGTTTACACATATATTGATAGCCACACTTGAATCCCTTGCCAGATAAAATTGTTTTACTTCAATTTTTTTTATTTTTTTGTGTGGGGGGGCAGGAAGGTATGATCTGTATACCCCAATATTTAGGTGCAAGTGCGGATATGTAGATGAAGAACTTGGGAAAGCCATGCACCAGTCTGGTTTTTATTCAACTGGAAGAAATAGTAGCACTTTCTACAACATAAATCTATTGGATTCCTGGCATTTTCTCAAGAGAAGCAGCCCTGGAACTTCTCTTCAGGCACTGGAAGTGCACTGGAATTATTTGGTGCTTCTCGAGGGCGTGTAAGTTTTCATACCATTACTGTTTTAATAGTGCAAGTAATTGGTGTATAAACTTAAACACTAAGCTTGTTACTAAGCAAATGCATTGTCATTATTTAAGAAATAGGGTTAAATATTATTAAATTAATAAATAGCATGAATATTCTAAATATATATTTTATATATGTCTAATATCATAAGAAATGGAATACCAATCTTTAACAATTTCTCTTTTTATGTAATGTTCATGTAAGTTTATTTTCATTTCCTGCAGGTATTTATAGTCTGTTGCTTAACATGCCACTGCTTGGCACTTTTTGATAATTACTTACACACATTTTACATCTTAGCATGGTCCCATCAATTTTGAGACAACAAAAGGTCTTCTTTGAATGGCGTTTCCATCAGTATGAACTTGGGAGAATAAAAGGAGAATTTGACACGGGGTGCCCTGCATGTGATACAACACCTGTGGCTGTACATATTGATGGCAACAAGAAACTGTATCGTTACAACAAAGTTGGGAGGTAAATATTGAAGTTAAAATATTTAATGCTGCTCATTATTGTTAAGGTATAACGTAAGGTGTAGTAATATGTTTGTAGTACTATAAACACAGCACTGTATAATATTTACATAGTGTCATGCAACTTTTAATCAGATTTTTTTTAATTGTTAACTGATTACACCTTTATTACTTGCCTTTCAACTTCAGTTGAATTTTTTTATTTGGACTAAGGCTTTACTAATTAAAAAATATTTATTTCACTATATACATTCATTTAGAATAGGAGGGATTATGATGTGAATGCCAGCTTGGGTAATTGAATTAGTTTTAAATGAAATGATGTTCAACTGTCATCAAAATGTCTCACACAATGAACATTCATTAATTTAATATCATTCCAGAGGGATCAGAAACTCATATTATTCTGGTGGTATCTTCGCTTGTGACAAAGAAGTTCAAGATCACGTTTCCACTATTCAGAACCTTAAGGGGGCATATCAATGTAAAATTAAAAGTGGTTCAATTTGCTTATAAATTTTTTTATGAAATGGTTATAGAAAGGGCTGCAGCTGGACCAAGTTTCATCATCACACCCTAAACAGAAAAGGAGAAAAAAAATAAACAACGAATTATGCAACGAATTTTCAAATAATTTCAGGGAACACATGTGTCAACTAAAGTCATTTCTATAACACTCAGATATTAAATTAAGTACATAATAAAGGATTCTAGTGATCAGTTTCATCAAAAAAGTGTTTAGTGCAATAATATAATTTTTCAAAGTTACCCTTCTAAAAAAATATGCAATATATGATATTTATAAATTTTTATAAAATCAACAAATAGACTTTGGACTAAAATGTCTACTAGATTCTGTAGAAGCACAAACGCTACATATAAGGTTTAATTTGCATGTAAATTGATTAATAAATGAAAGCTCTGAAGTAGTTTGAAGGTGTAAATTACTTTCCAGAGTAAAATAAAGATCCAAGTTCGGCCACCTGTAGCTGAGCTTGACTTCGACAGATTTCGTTCATAATTGGCACCCTTGCAGATAGGCATCCATTGAGCAAGGTGTGCAAGTTTCATGCAAATCCCTTGATAACAAATGAGAAAAAAATATTGGCCAAAAAAAAAGAAAACAAAAAAAAAATTTAAATATAAATATATTGCACATACATATTACAATTATTACAAGAGTTTGTGCTTCTACAGCACATAGTAGACATTTTAGTTGACACATGTGTTCCCTGAGATTATTTGAGAATGTTGAACATTCGTTGCATAATATGTTGTGTATTTTTTTTCTCCTTTTCTGTTTAGGGTGTGATGATGAAACTTGGACCAGTTGCAGCCCTTTCTATAACTATTTCATAAAAAAATTTATAAGCAAATTGAACAACTTTTAATTTATAACGATTTAGAATGATATGCCCCCTTAAAACTCAAGTAAGAATATTTTTACATCTGTTCAAAAGCCTAAAAATAGGTTTTCAAATAGAAACCTAAGACCTAATACCAGGTATTTACCCATACAATATTTGAAGAGTACCTTTATATATTAGCTTGAGACATTATCAATAATGTATATTAATTGGACGGTTCCTAACTATATCATGTTCAAAAAATTCTATAAAATATATGGAATGCATATTGAATGATGAAAAATTTTACATAAAAAAATTACATTTATATATGACTAATATATATATATATATATATATATATATATATATATATATATATATATATATATATATATATATATATATATATTGCAACCCATCCTCCGAATAGACAGTACATTTTAATACTAAGTGTAATAAGTACATTTTGATACTTACGTATTTAGTACATAAATGCACTTATCGGGCTGTTCCAGTTACCGGCTGGCCTCCCTAGAATATTTTCCCCGAAACGAGGAATGCGTTTTCTTTAATGTAACGGGTGTGCTGTTTTCTTTTCTTAATTTTTGCGGATACTCAGTCAATTTTGCTTATACTTGTATACTCAGCCCAAATTAGCCTTTATAATTTAAGGTATCATGAAAATTGGCCGCTTTTGAGGCAATTAAGCATAGCAGAAGCACAGTCACTGACATTCAAAGGAAAGAAGGAATGAGATAACTATTTAAATTACGATTTAAATCCTTCTAATTTTTGCTCGTTCGTCAATGAGAACTGTAGAGGTGACCCACGTGTTACAACAATAGTACAGTAATATTTCACCTGGAACTGTCGTCGTAGGGAGAGGTAGGGCTGGTAGGGCAGGTGGAGCAAGTCTAGGCTCGTCAGCAAGGGTAGGACAGAGGGAGTCACTGCCTCTTTAGGGGTCCTATGGGCACATATCCTAAGTGCCAGTGGTGCCGGGCAGGCGTCGTCCGCGCTGGGTCACATGCAGTTCAAATCTGGCCCGCTCGGCCTGCGCGGGTAGGCTGTGCGCCGTCGCCGTCCACCAATCAGGGCACAGCCCTGCCTATACTGTAAAATGTCTCCTTTGGCGGGCACTTTGAATGTGGTTCCCTCTACACTCCTCCCGTCCCTATAGAACAATGGGTATATTGGATGGAAAATGTTTCACTATATATAACATGTATTTTTGTAAAATGTCTGGTTTCATGAATGGGTCCTATTACAATTATTACCCGTATTATCTTTGCACTGTACACGAACATTATAATTATTACCCGTATTATCTTTGCACTATACACGAACATTACAATTATTACCCGTATTATCTTTGCAATATACACGAACTGTTTCAACATTGCATACACTGCACTATTCCCTTTCCTTTTTTTTTTTTTTTTTTTTCAGCTTCACTTTTAGGAATTTACTCTGTCCTAACAATATTACTCGCACCGAAGCGCTGCTCCTTGAATGTGAGTCCTTTGACAGAGCAACCCTCTTCCCACATCTCACCCCCAGGATCCCAAGGGAAAGCAATTGGATCTATGCCTTCCAAGGACTGACCAAATGCTAGTTCATTCTTTATTTTCTTCTGAGCCCTCCTTTCCACATTGTGTCTTAACAGGCCCCACTTCCTGTGAGAATTTTGCTTCGCTTCCTGATCCAGACCTCTCTGTTCAGTAGTGGCATGGTCCCGAATTGCCACTTTTGTCCTGCATTGGATTCCTGAAGGGGTCTCACTTGACGAGTTCTCACTTAGCATAACCAAACTCTGCTGGTTGTACGTGTCTGATGTGCTAATGTCCATGTCCCCCCTGTCAGTGTGAGCCGAGATGTCTTCCACACCTCTAGACAATATCTGGTCAGCATCTTGCTCCGATGCCCCTCCTTGGCCTGTTATGCACTGGGTCGGATTTAGGCCGAATGAGCCGACCCGGCAGCGTTTAAAGACGAATTCTGGTCCTTAAATGAAACACGTGGCCTGTTGCCCGAGGTGTCCCCGTGCTGGCGGACTGCTTCCTCATCCCTTTCGGATTCCTCACAGTCCCGAGCAAAATGACCCTCTTTTCCACACCTGTAGCACTGAACAGGTCGCCTAGGGGATGGGCTACGGCGATGCTGTGGTGACATAAGAGCAACTGTAAGGTGCCTCAAACTCTCACACACCTGGTCCAATCTCCCGTTGGTCTCTGAGATACCTGTTACCAAGGTGTCCAACTTCGCCTCCACGCCCATGGAAGATAAAGGATGCGGGCCCGCACTCGATGGTCGGCAAGTGTTGATTCCAAAACCTGAAGAGCTGGTAGCCGGTGACGTGCCTGGGGAGCTGGGAAGGGCGAGTGTCGAGCGCCGAGAAGCGTCATTACTCCTGGGTGGCCGCTCATACTGGGAGTACCTTCCCACTGCATTCACTCGCACTGCTGGACCTTGGGGCACTCGGTGATGGGAGTCGTATCCTTTGGAACCTGAGGAACCGTGGATCGCTAGGGCATTGTGCTGGAAGGTTTGGGCCCAATCAATAGCCTCCTCCATGGAGGAGTTCCTCGCATTGGAAATGTATCCTGCCAGACTCTTATCCTGTAATCCCTGGCCAAATCTCATTACTGCGATTTGTTCCACTTCCCATCGTGGCACATGTTTGTAGGCCCGATGAGCCAAGTGATGGGCCCTGTCTGCCCAATCAGCGATATCCTCTTCTGGTTCCTGCTGAGCCTGGTTAAACTTCATCATGGCTACATCCAGAACTTCCCTATCGCCAAATCGCTTGATCATCTTATGCATCATGCGATTATAATCGATCGACGGTTCTCTGTCCAGTAAGTGATTGTAAAAATCACTCGCCTTACCCTTGAGGCACCACCCTAACTGTGTCAATAACATAGGCCCGCTCCAGTCCTTTTCCGAGGCATAAGACGTGAAACGGCGGTAGAAGGTGGCCCAATCTTACTTCCCGTCATAGTCCAACGCCCGAGGCGGTGTGCGGAAGGTCT